TCAATCACTAAATAATTTGATTTTGGCCAAACGATTTCATTCGTTAGTCAAATAGTTATAAGCTGTTTATAATAACTTGCGACACATTCTAAAAGTTAAGTTTATGTTAGGTGACAGCTTACTTTAAATGTGAACAGTTTTCATTGATTTTTATTTATCTTTTGTTACCAAAACAATTGAATATGTGATTATCTTTTCGAGAGAGAAAAAAAGACAGACAAGTTATTTAAATTTAAGAATTTTATTAAGCTACGGAATTTGGAGTAAATTCATAAATAGGAAAAGAGAAATATGCAGGTGTACCCAAAAAAAAAAGGGAAATATAAAGAGCTATTGATATCTTTTCACGGGTTGTCAATAAAAGTGGTTTAAGGAAAATACTTGGTTGTCGTTGCAAACCAAGACGACTCGTTGTTGTGGGCAAACAGGCCCATAATGATAATTGGGTGGAGGTTAATGCTCTAAATAACTCCTAAGTTTTTTATTTCCAAACTAAGGCGTAGGTAACAGGCCCAATCAATTTGTTCCTTGATTTTCAAAAACACAAATCCCATTCAAGTTCATAATAAAAATAAGTTAACGCCAATTTCACACCTTTTTTTGCCAGTTAATATCTCATCTGTCGTATGGATAGTTTAAGTTTAGGGAAGATTTTAAAACTATAAATTGAAATTAAAATTTAAAATTGTATATAGTGTGTTCATTTTTAATTTAGATAAAGTAAAAAAATGTAAATTGGAAATAGTGGATTGTATGTAATTTTGAGAGAATGAAAGAGGTGAATTAATCAAAATTAATTAATAGTAAAATTTAGAGTACTATTTGAAGAGAAATTTACTTCTAAGAAAGATTGAAAACTGATAAAAGATTGTCATCATGACTAAAAAAATAACTATATTTTTGGTTTTGTAAGAAAATTTTTGATACTCATGTTGGAGTTTAATATAATAGTCTAATCGAAAGGTTACGAGGTGAAGAAAATATATTTTTTCTTTTAAATTTCTCGTAACACCCTTATCTTTTCTTCGGTTTTCGTCCTTAATCCTCAAGATAGTGGATATATTGAAAGAGTCTCGTCCTATAATTACTAGTCTTTAAGTAATAAGGTATATACTATTATTTTTTATTATACAATTTATTGCATCATTTATATCTTAGTATCAGAGTACCTTTGCAGACATTCCCTTTTCACCCAAAAAGTTCACGTCCAAGAGAGATTTTGAAAACCAAAACGAAGATCATCGTTAAGACCAACCAAGAACTATAGGAAGGAACAAGAGCGGTTCTAAGTCTTATAAAAACATTTTTGGCAATCGAAAGGTTCCTAGTAAAGAAAATGATTTTTTTTTCATACTTTTTGGCAACATATTTGTCTCTTATTCACTTCTCGTCCTTATCCAAGTCCTCATGCTAGGGAGTTAGTGTATCAAAATGGTCTCGACTTTTAATTATCAGCGCCTGTTAGAGGTTAATTAATCAAAGTTAACTGAATAGTTTAGTCAAAAATATAATTAATAGATGTATTAGATCTTAAACAGAAGCCCTTGGGTAAGAAATCACTTCAAATATTATAGATAATGAGGATCTTAAGGTATGCCTTATTCATTTTTTATTACATATTATTGCATCATTTATAAATTTCCTAAATTGGTTAGTTAGAGTGTCTAATAGTCCATATTCAATAGAGTTTGAAGACTAAACATGTATTATATTCAATAGTCCAAATTCTTTTATAACACTACTTTATAATTTTTTTTTCTAACCTTTAATCTACGTGTTTTCATGTTTTCATCAAAAGTCAATACCAACAATTTGATTATATGTTTTTAAATGTTACTAGAATAAAATAATTATTAAAAGTAAAAAAAATGACATATATATGTTTTAATAAAAAAGTGTATAATATATAGACACTTAACTATATCCTACCTAATATATTTGTAAGATAATGTTTACACTTAAATTATATATATTATGTGGCATCTTCACAGAGGCTCCAGTTTGACATGTTGTAGTTTTCCAGACACGTATTGCAGGTTGATAATCAAACTTAGACAAAACTCATGTTTAGGACCTTCATGCTAATGCTAGTGCACTTTTCTATGTTCTATTGATGATTTGGCTATGTATATTGACACATGTCATGGTTGGAAAAGTTTCACGCTCGGAGGATAATGGAGGTCGCGATCATTTTGTTTCTTTGTTGTTCTTATTGAGTGGACACTCTCCACCCATGCACCAATTTTTCCATGTTCGAGTGTGTAAAAGTAATATGCTGTAAGTCGTAACTACCACTCAATCATTGGATGTTGTTGACCAAATGTGTCTTGGGACAAATGTAGCTAAAATGCCCCATGCCATTTATTTAACTTAGCTATAGTCAAGTGGGATGAAGCACTAGACAAAAGGTCGTGGATTGCAAGTTTGAATTTTTTATTAAATATCTTCAATACTTTTCAATACATTCAAGAGCCTGAAACAACATTTTTTCATATTTTTTTAGATTCTCAACTGAGTATCTTAATGCACAGCATTCACTGCTTATATTATTTATGTTGTTTGAACTAGAAGAATAGTTTTTTTTCTCATGGTTTTTTAAGTTCACTTGAATTGAACAACTGAGAAAGTTACTATTTTTGTCATTCCAGAAAACTCGAAAGTTATTATTCTTTTAAATTAGAGTCACTGACAGGGAGTTTGCGTCTTTCTTTCATAAAATATTTAGCAATAATTAAATATGTTTGTTGGAAATGACTAGTTTACATTTTTAATAAAGTGTACAAACAAATATATACTATATTTAAAAAAATCATTTTAAGATGATTATTTTAAAGCTAACTGGTTAAACATAATGATATGCGACTAAAGGATGATGCAAATGTATTTATATTACTAGCGCATTCAGATTAATTTCACATAAATTTTTTAGTTTAGTAGCCATTCACAAAAGTAAAACCATCTTTTATAGTACTATTTTAAAGGTAGTTGTTATAATAAAAAATAAAAATGTATTACATATGGCATTTTTTATTAAATAAAATAACCGTTTAAAACATCTTTACATTAATATGCATATTATTTATTAAAAAATTCAAACTTCCAAACAATCCTTTCGAAATCATGGCACGCACAATTGGAGAGAACACCCACCACGGATTTTCAACCAGATAATATTTTATATATAGACAGAGAGAGAGACAGATAAATAAAGTGAAAAGGCCATTATATCAAGTTTACAGAAATGTATACAGTTCAAAAGTTAATACACAAGTTTAAATTGTTTAAAATTATATAGTACATAATAATAATAGTATCACAGAAATTAATGAGTAAACTAATGAAATGAAATGATATCTTTAGTAGGAATGATGAAGAAAATAGGTTATTTTAATGAATTTGACACTTAAAATCGCCTGTTATGCTATGTTATGCCGATGAAAATGAAACAGGAAAGATTCCAATTGTCTAGGCAGGATTGGGTTTAGACAACGCATTACAGCCCTAAGTTATCCTATGCACCCAGCATTTGTACCACAAAATTGGTGCCACTCCACCTCGTTATCCTATGCACCCTTTTCCTTAACGTTGCTTCTAGTTATCATATCATATTGTTAATGTTGGCATGGCATAATTATCATCACGGGCCCTGATTAATCAAATCAAAACCTTCCAAAGGACCCAATGCAATGCTAAAGTTAAGTTCAATGTTGTTATCGCCGTTAACTTTGATCTGTTTTCAACCTCCTACATATAATTACCACTTCCACCTATATTTGTCCAACTACCTAAATTCCTCACTTAAATGGACGATTAATTTTATGTGGCGATCAGTTAATAACATTTCAGATGTAATAATTAAATGAAAAACATAGGCGTTGTTTTAGTTAATCAAACAATATTTGATGTAATTAAGATAGATGTTTGACCCCTGGGTAAGGAGAGGAGTCAGGTAGTACCAAGATTGAGGACCTCGATCTGTGTGTGGTGTTTGATAGTATAAACAGTTAGAAGGAATTCTAATTCTAATTCTTGCTCCGCAAAGGGAGGGGACAACGAAAGAAACGACACAACTACCAAGTTGACTCCTTAATAATATCCAATCATGGTGACACGCCTTTTGTTGTTGCCTCAAGAAGCTGCACTCAAAACTTGCTTTTTCCAATAACATCTGTCACCCTTTTGGATATTCCTTCTTCTTACATTATTTTTAGCAAATTGCCAGTTTAAGAAAAACAAATATCTTTTCTGTTTTCACCGTTGCATTTTGCATCAGGTGGGGTTCATGGAAGAGGTTTGATTCGATCATTCCTCTCCCAGAAACCACACATTCCACCTTCTGGGTTGTGGGATTTTCTTGTTTTCTGTTAGATAGATATATTCTGACGTGGGTTGTGTAATTCTGAAGGTGGGTTAATGGGTATCACTCCAATCTGTATTTGAAAGGAATAGTTGGAAGTTGGTGTCAGGTTCACAGTACCTCCTTGGCAAATTGAAATAGAATAGAAATTCTCCCAAAGGTACAAAGACATTTTTCTTTTGTATGTATTGTAAATTAATTTTGTGTTATTGTTCGGTTTCTCGAAGTTCACGAAGGGTTGAACCAATATGTAAAAAATGATTTTTAATATTTAAATGAACAGTTTGAAAGTTGGCAATTCATTGGTTGCGCAGGCTCGAAGAGTTGTGGACAAAACTACCGGAACCTGTTTTCCATCTCTCTCGAGAATCATGTGGGGCTTTGGCTGTTACAACCAATTCTCTTGGATGCGTGAGAGATTCTGATTGAGTTGTTGTTGGTTTGGTAGAGGAATGAACCTTTGATAGAGAACAAGATCTGTCCAACAAACCTTAACGTGATATCAGAATTTCGGATTGATGATCTCATATCGGGGGTGTTTGTCTAAAAGAGAAATTGGTACCTTTTGATGAAGCTGTGAAGACACCCTGCTTCCGATTTCCTGAATAGTTAATTGTGTTGTCGGTGTTGATTTGTGAGGGACATGAAGTTTCTGAGCCTGGTGGGGAATTCTTTTGGTTGTTCTGCATCTGGTGAGCGCTTAGTTTCTGCCGCAAGAGATGGGGATGTTCAAGAGGCCAAAGCCTTGTTGGAATATAACCCTCGTCTTGCAAGGTATTCCACTTTCGGAGTTCGCAATTCCCCTTTGCATTACTCTGCCGCTCATGGGCACCATGAGGTACTTTGTTCAATGCACTCCATCTCCTTGTAATTTTTGCAATCAAAATATTAACTGTGTTTCGTATTGATGTAGATAGTATATCTCTTGCTTGAGTCCGGAGTTGATATCAATCTCAGAAATTATCGCGGTCAGGTAATCCATTGGTTTTGTTTTAATGTCTTCGCTGCATTTACATGTCACATCGCATGGCAAATTTTGCTGGTTTGGATTATAGAAAGGGCCATTTATTTTACTTACTTGTCACACTTTATAACATTAACAGACTGCATTGATGCAAGCTTGTCAACATGGTCACTGGGAGGTTGTTCAGACCCTTACCATTTTTAAGGCCAATGTATGATCTGACTATCAACCAATTTTGTTGCACATTTTGATAACAATCAGATAAATTGTTGAGTTGCAAAACATTGTCTGTTTAATTTGATTCCAGATCCATAAAGCTGATTACCTAAATGGAGGAACTGCCCTTCATTTGGCTGCTTTGAATGGCCACACCAGGTGCATTCGGCTCATCCTGGCAGACTATATACCTAGCACCCCTAACTTTTGGAATGCATTACAGACAGGTGATCATAAATCAATCTCAGAATTTGATCGAAGGTAGTCTGTCTCTCACTCGAAGGTCTTATTGCTTCTTCCGCTGTGGCAATGACTTAATTTTATCTTTAAATGGTTGCATACAAAGTGGACTCTGCGAGGTAATTAACAGAACTTCTGATGGAGGGATCACTGCTCTGCATATGGCAGCATTGAATGCGCATGTCGAAAGTGTACAGTTACTCTTAGACTTGGGGGCTTCTGTGTCTGAGGTTACTGTGGAGGATGGAACTACCATTGATTTAATTGGTAATTGTTTGACATCTTCTGTTTCATTGAGTGAAGTCAAAATATTTTCTTTGGAAATTCAACATTTATGCATAAGTAGATTAATTTTTCCACTATCTGTTTTAAAACCTGAACTGCTGCTGCTTTCTCTAACTCAAGAAAAACTATACTAGGTGGTTATTTCTCATTAATAATTTCAGCATTTCCATTTCTGTTTCTTGACTGGCTTCAGGATTTGCTGGTTGAATTGAAAATAAGCAGGTGAAAACTTTATATTGAAATTTTGTTACAATTGCCTGGTCCCACAAAAAAATTGGAGTGCCTGGAGCTAAGCTGCAACTCAATTACATTCTATAGACAACTGGTCACTTCTATGGCTTGAAAGCGAGATGAAAATGATTTTCGCCCGCTTGAAAATGAAAAATAGATACACATATCATTTCAACAATATTTTCCTCATCTTTTATGCTTACCCTTGGTGATGGAGTGGGTTTCTTCCTCTTTCATCACACTTTAAACCTCATAACTTACGGTTTTTGACTCAGTATCAAATAAACATTTATCATATTTCTCAGATAGAGATGGGATATGAGAAAGTTGATCCCATCAAGTTATAATGTTTAAAGTTGACCCCCACCTAGTGTTAATTTAAACACTGTAAGTTATAACACAGACTAGAAGGTTAAGAAATTCGAAAATATCGCAGTAAGTTTGAGTTAATTTTATCAGTTTCACCTTTAATAGCCGCTGTTTATACTTATTTGCAGGCTCTGGAAGTACTCCACTACATTATGCTGCATGTGGTGGAAATGCACAATGCTGTCAGGTGTGTTTCTATTTTCCTTTAGGAGAAAACTATGTTTTGAACTGAAGATATATTATCCTTCCAAATGAATTGGGTATATTGCTTGTCAGCATATTGAAGTTCCTTTCCTTTTAAACTTTGTGTGTTTTTGTTTGGTTCAGCTGTTGATTGCCAAGGGTGCGGATCTGACTGCTGGGAATGCAAATGGGTACGTATCTAAATGTCTCTGTTAACTTTTGATGTGTAATGACTTTATCCTACTTACTTCTTACCATAGCAAAGACATTAATATTTCTAGAGGAGTCAAAAAATTCCCTGTCACCGTGTCTTCTAATCTTGAAAAATCTTATACTAATTGCAATCTAGATCCTCCTTGGCTTTTGACCAGAAACTCAAGTTTATTCCTGATTATCTTGGTCATCCATGTTTCTGAGTTTTATTGTTTTTTTTTTTTATGAAATTGTGCTCTAAAAAGTAGCCTCGTATTTTATTTTTCTTTGTTAATAGTAATTGGAATATTGCATTGCCTATCATCTTGAAGTAAGTGCCAGTTCATCATGATATTAGGCTTTATTAGTATTATCCGCATAACTTGGATTTGCAAGTTTCTGTTCTTTTTCATAACAATTTTAATCGAGGATAATATTGTTTTCTGACTGCATTCTTCTGAAGAATCCTTTGTTCGCTGCTGTCAAAATGCAATAAAAGACAATTGAACCTACCACAAGTGTAGTAGTGCCCGTAATGCTACGTTGCATTTGAAGATGGGTGTAAAACTTTTTGGCTTACTTCTATGATTTTTGTTTTGAAGATGGACACCCTTAATGGTTGCTCGTTCGTGGCACAGAAATTGGCTTGAGGACATCTTGAAAACACCTCCAGCAGAACCCCTACAAGTTCTTCCATCTCCATATATATCTCTTCCACTTAAGAGCATTGTGAGAATTGCTAGGTATGTGTTTTGGCTCTTTTCTTTTATCCATTCAACCGATTTCTTCCCATTGGAGTGTATGATATTTGGTGCTATCTCCTTTGCTCCTCATTTGGAGAAGCAATTGAGATCTTTTGTATCTTTTGTTTTCCTAGGAATTAGCATCAATTTATTTTCATATGCCCAATTCTTTCTATTAATTTGTCCAGTCTCTCTGACTTCAAATCAACTAGCTGATATTTACGCCAAATCAGGGATATATTTGTTCAATTTATGTCTATTTCTCTATCAAACAATCTACCCCTATATTGTTCATACAGTGAATTAGCTTACCTTATGTAATTATTATAATTATTAATAATTTGTTAATTCCATGAAACTAGAGATACTACTGCCAATATTAATGTGCACATTTTTTTCACAGCAAACACTACATCTTGACACGACAAAGTAAAATTAGTATACAATTTTGTCAACACTTGAGTTGATTTATCCAGTTGACTCAACCTCAAATTGGGTTTCCAATGATTTCTGATATTGCTCATCCTCGCCTTTTGTTTCTGTTGTGATCTTCCTTGACAGAGAATGTGGATGGAGGACGAATGAATTAGCACCAACGTGCTTAGATCCATGCGCTGTTTGTTTGGAAAGGAAGTGTATGGTAGCTGTAGAAGGTACACTCTTAAATTTACAAACAAACATCCGTTCTTTGTTTAGTATCAATGGTGGATCCATGGTACGCAATTAGATTCATTGGTGTAGCGAATGATAGAGCATTTTCAGGCAAAACGGGTTGTGTTATGTTTAAAATTTTGCTGTGGAACAATTTTCTTGTTTAGGAAACATGGCGTTTCCTTTATATTTCTAAAGTCGTTTCATTTTGACTAACATGGGTTACATATATAAACATCAATCTTCGATATGGTTTCTGGATTTTACAAGGGCTGGTAGCTTGTCAGAAACAATTATCTGTACTCATGAATTGAATAACGATACTTAAGCACGGGGTATCCCAATAATGTGCTATAGAAACCAGAAACAGATGATAGAAGACTGCTATTATTTCTTGAATTCATTTCGTTTTATAATAGCCCTGCTTTACGCTCTTTTTCTTTTGCTGTTTTATCTATACAATATAATAGCCTCGAGTTTTGTTGTCTCATGCATAAATTCCTACATCATCATGATGGTGCATGCAGGTTGTGATCACGAGTTCTGCACTCAATGTGCTTTATATCTTTGTTCTACCAACTCTTCTTCAACAACCACAACTGGTCCCCCAGGTTCAATTGCTTGCCCTCTTTGCAGGCACGGCATAGTCTCATTTGTCAAGCTACCAGATGCAAGGCCCCTACACAAGGAAATGCAAAGGACATCAAATCTGTCCCTAGCATTCTGCACATGTTCAAGTGAAGTATTGGAAGATTCCACTGAAATGACCACCCCATTTTGCAAACCAACACCACGTGGATCCAAAACTTCTTCAAGAACATTTCGCTCCAAGAGCTGCCAAGCGCTCCCCTCGTTCAGAATCAACCCCCGCCTTTGCTTGGGAGCTGAGGTTAGCCCCTCCTTAGTCCCTAGCACCGTAACCAGGAACGCAAGGAGCAATTTGGCAAGGTGTTCTGGTTCCAGTTTAAGACGATCATCTTCTCAAACAGAAAGAAGGAAGTCGTGGTTTTGTTCCCTCAATCAATCTGTTGCCACAGGCAGTGGATGCTGATCACATTTTGGTCTTTTCAAAATGCCTTTTCTTTGTTCACACCAACATAAACAGTACCCAACGCTACAGGCATGATTCCAAATATCATCTATTGTTCAACCACTACTTAGCTTGTAAATACCTAGCCCAATTGTTCAGCTGGGACAAGCGTTACTTTTTTGGCAACATATATAAAAATTTCGACAAAATTCATGTTTGGTACATGCAAATGCAAACTGATCTACGTGGAATTCGTGGCTTACAATTACCAAATAGCAAACAGTGAATTATTAAAGGAAAATCCATTGATTCTGTAATATATCTTACATACTGCAGACGCGGTAAGAAAATTGGGCCAAAAGAGTGCATTTTGCACATGGAGAAGGCCACAGGTGATGTTAGAGCACGTCACAATTTCATTAAAGTTTGGCTAAGGGGTCAGAAACTCGGAACCTAAAACAGCATTGACGCCTTAATTCAGTTTTCAGTATAACAATAAATCTGCGTCCGAACGACCTGCGAATTATGACCCATCGGACCCACAATGCCACGTGCAGATATTTATTATCACCTTTGGGCATCCTCTTCTCGCAGAAATTGATAACTAAAAGAACATGATGACAAATATGCAAAAGATATTGCTAATTACAGTCCAGAAATCCTAAGATTGAATTCTTTTATAGAATATAATGTTCAAACGTTTTAGATAGTTATGAGAATATTTTACACAAGTAATACTAAAAACAACAATCATATAATTCATCATCCAAAATCATAGATATACTAGTTAATATTTGCCACATATATCATAGAACGACATAAGCTCCAGATGATACCCATTTGACACTAAACTTTTAAGGCTCTCCATTTACGCGCGTATACTTTTCAACCTATGTTTGTTTAATTTACTATCATCCCCATTTAACTTGTCATTATATTATGAAGATGTTCTCATTCCATCACCAAAACTTATTACAGAAGGGATGCAAAACGCTCACTCTCTTCAATAGTCTACAAAAGAACACAACTATTAAAAAGCACAAATGTTTGTCCTCCAAATCTTATTTAATCAATTTCAACGAGTATTTAATGATTTTCACCAAATTTACAGGAGATGTTCAAGTTTGTGCCAGTACTCTTCGTTAAGAATCCTTTTCTTTTGTGCTAAAGAGCATAGAAACAGTCAACTTGATAATTGTGAACGCAAAGAGAGAAACGAAAGTAATTGAGACCGTGCACTTCGGCTTTAATGTAAAACTTACACAACAGAAGGATCATATAAAGCAGTTCTTTATGAACTGCAAATCATCGTATAATAACAACTTTCACACGGAAACATACAACTAAATCACTTCATCAAAGCTCAGGAGGAATAGCACACGAGTATTAGAATGGAAATGAGCGACACAATGAAAAAAAAATTAAAAAAAATAAAATAAAATAAAATAATTATCCTAAATAAATAAAACAAAAAAAGTCTTGCAAGGTCAAGAAAAAATATAAATAAAATAAAATAAAATAAAAAATATTAAAAAAAAGCTCAATCAGGATATCGCCGTCAAGACCGTATCTCATGCTTCGTTCTCCATATGCTGCTGCTGTAGAGAACGCCAAGGAATCTCGTTGCATGCACACCACTGAGACAGTAGTAGGAGATGCTTGATGCCATTTGTGAGAGATTCTTGAGTAGTTAGGCGGAAGAGCATATTAAGAAAGAAGTGACAAGTTTGTAGAAAATGTTACGTTAGGACAAGGTGATGTTTGTAGGCGTAGCTGTGATATGATATAAATGGGCAAGTGGTGGTGCATGGTGAGAAGATTGATGGAGTTTATATAGTGAAAAGGGAAGGGGAAATAAATGAAATAAGGGACTACTGACATTCCAAAAATGTTGTTGTTTCAGTGAAGTTTGAAGAAAAAGGAAGAGGTTAGTGGACCCAAAAACTGTGGATTAATGGATTTAAAAAACCCTTTTTCCTTGTTGTAGCTCTGTATCTCTGATCCCTCCAGCGAGAAGTCTTGATTAAATCAGATAAAATGGCGACTGATTTGAGAGAAGAAAGGATAAAGTACAGTGCAGTGACAAGCAACGTGACTTAACCATATTTCTCTTCTGTTCTATAATCTTTTACCTCCTCAGTCACGTAAATTCAAAAGCATATACATGAAGCATGGGAATTCGGACTCAAATTTCCAATAAAGGGAAACAAGTTAAAACAGTATGGGGCCTGCAATGAATTCTCTCACAGGGTAAAAGTGAATATCAAACATGTATACGGCCCAGTGCCAACTCTGATGAACCTATAAATATAAGAGAAAATTTAACAGAAAAATAGACACCTCATCATCCAATCAACTCATTCATTTTTACTTTTACTTTTACTTTTTTTATTTATTATTTCTCCTCTTTTCTTTCTTTCATTCCTTTTTATTCACATGTCAAATATTATTTAAGCTTCTATATCAAGATAAAGAAAATACTACTATTTACAGTTTCACTCACTATTCCCTGCAAATCACCTCACACGCTTTCTTCATTAATCAACTATCAAATCAATATAACTAACAATTTAGGTATATTCCATTATTTACCTTTAATTGATTATAGTTCGTAAAAGTTTAGTGGTAAGTGTAGAAGATATATTGCTTAACTAAAACGTGTTTGATACGTATAGTTCATTGTCGACAACAATGGAGATAAATACACAAGTATATGGCACGATTAATATTATTGACTTAATTTATATCGCATGCATGCATGGGCACAAATCAATAAATAAATAAATAAATATATATATATATATATATATATATTTATTTATATTCAAATTGGAATGTTATTTATGGAAACTCACATAGTACGTGTGTATATACATATTAATAAGCATGTGATTAGACATTTCACTGTATGAAAAATATTTGCTGAAAGATATTTACTTTAAATGAATTCCTGTGTGTCAAAGGATTAGTTTAAGAATTTTGCAGACTCAAGGTACCCAAAAGAGTAAGGTATATGTTTTGAACTAATAATTTAAAGTTCTTATAGCACGAATTCAGTCTCGTAGAGTTTTCAGCCAGAAAACTGCATCAAAATCAAAATGCATATACATTGAAATCTCGTCGCACCAACTTAACGAAATACCCCTAATCATACATGTCAAACAATGAAAACCCCAGGGGCTTCCATTTTGTGCCATCGTAGATGTACTTGGGTGAGCGGTTAATCATAAACAGTTCTGGATTCATAAAATTAATTTAAATATTTGTTTCATTTTTTAAAAGAAAATCTGTAAAAACTTGTCATAAACCAGCATAATATAAAATTTTCAAATTAGCACAAAATTTGTCTCATATTAACCAAATTACTTTAAGAGTGTTTTGTTCATTCCCATTCAACTGCACCATGTGAAAAAAAAAAAAAAAAAAAAAAAAACTAGACAGCAAATTGTATTGTTTACACTGAAGAACGAGAGAGTTAAAAACAAACAAATAATGAAATATCTGTTTGGTTTAATTTATATTAAAAATATTTAGTTTTTGGCTGGGTATCTGTGAGAGTTTTAGCATGTCATAATTTGGCATCCTACTAATATATTTTACAACTTTATATTTCCCAATTTCATTTCTTTTACAGTTTTTTGAGAGGACTTATTTTATTAAAAAAAATACTAATATTTGAAAAAAAGTTTCAACCAAGTATGAGTAAAAATTGAACTCAAAATTTAACTGAAATTATGATTTAAGAATTTTCAAGTAAAAATAAAAACTTACCAATAAAAAATGTAAAATGACGTTTGTGGTACATATGTATTTGGGAGAAGGTACGGGGTGGGGAGTTAGGGTGACGAAAAAACATGACACAGCTTTGCACGCAAAGCTGGTTACTTCTGCACTTAGCTTTCTCTTCTTTTCTTGTTGATTTTTAATTTCTATTTTCATCTTTTCACTTTGTTCTTTCCCATCAAATGCCACCACGTTTCATAACTGTTAGGGTGTGCAGCCGTGTAAGGCGTAGGGTATTCCAAGTACCAATTTTAGGATTCTTTTTCTCTTTTTCCTTAAGCCAATATCTTATATCAGTTTTGTTTTTCTGAATTTTGTGGGATGTTGTCTAGATACAAGTGTATAAATAATTCTTTCGACTAGAACTGTTCAATGCAGTAACATTTGGAAGACTTGAATCAGATGTAGTTAATTTAAGGGTGAAAAATATGATTACAGAATGTGATATCTTTCTAATGGTAAAATAAGTTTTTGAAGTGCGTGAGGCTTTGTGAATGGTATCGAATATGGTTGAAGATGAGGAAGATTTCTGGAGGGAAAAGGAGGAATTATTGGAACGGTGACAGCATGCATGTGATTTTATGTGAAAAGTTGAGCTTGAATTGAATGGAATGGAATTGTTTCAAGACTCCATTGAAGAGAGCGACCCATCGGATCATATCAACTACTAGTAGCAGATCATATCAACTACTAGTTTGAAGAGGGTGTGAGTGAATCAGGTGGGGTAAGGAGAGGGTAATATATTATGATGTTACTTAGTTATAATGAATGTAGTTCACGTACCCTTCTGAATATGTTAGATGTAATGATCACAATTCGCAACCTAGCTAGTGATAGTGATGGGACAAGACATGGTCAATCCATCAGTCTCTCTCAGAGTCCTTTATTTTTCTCCTTCAACTTTCTTCTTCCATGGTTGCAGCCCCAACGTAAGACAAACATGTCAACAACATGCAAATTGCAATGCAACCCCGTTTCCAACGTCCCAAACCCCTTCTTCTTTCGTGTAAAGCTCCTTGCACCAATTCTAACATTTTTCACTTTCTTCCATTCAATCCTGAACACCAGTTTTATCAAAGAAAAAAAATGGATAAACCTATACTGATTACATATAGTTTTTCTTCTCCAAATGACGACAGTTTTGGTTTTTTTGTTTAAAATAAATTGATTGATATTTTCAGTTTTTTAGTAAAAATATTGATTAATTAATTTAATTATAAATAAATTTTATAGGCGTAATTGGATAATTCATTTATTTTTTTAATTTGTGCAAAGAAATTTAAGTTACAATAATAATTTTAAGATGGAGGTAATATTATAGATGAAAGATATAATTATTAAAATATTTAAAATAATTATTATTGGAAGAGCGGAGCAATAATAATGGTGCGGTGGTGGTGCAGTGCAGGCATGTGTGTGAAGCTTGAGGTTTGTCTGGAGACTCTGCAATTCTCACGTTACCAATAAATGCTTCGTGTATGTTTTTGTATATTTCCCCCAAAATGTTGCTATTCACCGCCACGGTTACGTAAAGGAAAGGAAAAGGGCATCTTATCAGTTTTTGTGATTGTTGGTTGGTGGGTCTTCAACTGTTTTATTTATTGTTATCGTGTGTTGATGGAGTGGATTCAGATTGAGGGTTTTGAATGGAGAATAATGCAACGGATCTTGATTGGTTTTGGTGGTAGAATAGAATTAAAATAGGGAATAGGAATATAGAGGGATATAGGAGTAGAAGTAGAAGTAGGAGGTATAATAATGCATGAGCGGTGTGGCTTTGGCTGTGTTCACAACGGATGTTTGACTTTCAGATTCATATTTAATGATATTATTGGATAAAATCAAAATCTTTCTTGCGCAATCCATGGTCCAGGCATGAATTGGTGGTAATAGCCCAAACATGTAGCCAGATGGCCGGCCTAACCCGATCAAAATACTTCTGAATGCTCCTCCTTGAGGAGCCCGGTGTTTTATTTTCATGTTAAAAGTTAAATCTTTATTTTCATTTTTGGCTGAATTTTAAGTTTTTTTATTATATATTTTTTATATATAAATAAATATTTATAATTTTATAATTTATAATTATTATTAATTAAATATATTTTTTAATTTATTATATTTATATTAAAATAGGTATATAAAAGAAATATTTAATTATTATTTATTTATATATATAGAATATTTTTCTTTTTATTATTATATTGTATTCAAATATTTGAATACTTATAATAATATTATTATTATTATAATATATTCAAAAAATTTATTACATATATAAGTTAATTCATTTTTATGTTGTCATTTAAAAATATGAAATATAAAATTTATAAAAATATATTTAATAAGTTAATTATTATTTAATTAGTTCGAAGGAATAAAAGTTTAAATTATCAATTCTTTTAATTATTTAAAATATAATTATTTTATTAAGATAAAATTTGATATATGATAAATAAGAATAATAAGATAAAAAAATATGACATAATAAAATCTAATAAATATAAATTATAAATAAAATAATATTAGTTACGACTAAGATTTATGTAAACTATTTAAAAAAATATAAAGAAGAAAAAAATTAATTTTATGTTCATTAAATTGGTTGAAAAGATTAAAAAAAAATAATTGGAGAGATTAAGGAAATGTGAAAAACTAAAAGACAAGAGAAAAAGAATAATATAATAAACTAATTGATATAAAAGATTAAAAAAGACAAAAAAATTAAAAAGTGGGTAGAAGAAATATAAAAATGGTGAAATATAAAAAAATGACCTTATATATAATAAAAAAAGAAAAAGAAATACTTTTTAAAATATTAATATTTTAAAATTTAAATTTAAATATAATGTCGAGACGAGGACGAAATCAGGGTGGAGATTGCATTACTCATTCCCGTCCTCGCCCCCGCCTCGTCCCGACTTTTTCCAATTAAACTCGGGGTAGGGACAGGTCGATCCCCATGGGTACGAATTTAATTGCCAGGTACTACTTATAAAAATATTTTCTGGAATGCGAATTATCTTTCCCTAGTATTATCACCAGATGCAATGCACGAGATTATCTAATTTTTTTATTAATAATAAATAACATTTTAATATCAATAATAATAATAATAATAGAATAAATGTTGTAAATGATTTCAAATTTTCAAAATTTTAAATGAAAAAGTTATATTGAAAAAGTTTTTGTAAAATAATTTTTTTACAAGTAGTAATACCAAATTTTAAAAATATTTGTTTGATTTTTATAACACTGAATAATTACGACAAAATATAGTATAAAACATTTATATAATCTGTAACAATAACAAACTAAAATAAAGTAATATAATAATCTATAAAATTGATATATGGTATGAAAAAGATAAATCTATCGAGAAATATTGTAAATTTATACTACATAATACATATAACTCAATTAAACAACGAAGGAAGAAAAATAATGAGCAATAACAAATTATAATTTATAAAGTAGTTATATGATAGTTAATAAAATTTGTCAATTATATAATTTCATGATCATTCAATAATCATAATTTGTAAGCGATAATAAACATCATAAATCTTCATTTTCATAGACTAAATACTTAAAAATAAAGTATAACAAAAAAATGAAGTATAGTGCACTTGCATGTGTTTAGAGGTTAAAAAAAAAATAATTGTATACTACATTTTTATTACATTATGTTACATTTCAAATCCTTTCTTTGTTTTGACCCTAAAAATGACCACATAAAACTGACTATGAGTAAATACTGGACATGGAAGAAAAAATCTGATTTATTGTATGTTGGTGTTGTTGTTTGATATTTAATTTCAATAAAATTCAATTTGTTGAATAATATTGTGTTTTGTAATATGTTGTTGCAGTTATGTGCATAGTACTATGACATGCATGCACCCTCAAATGTTAGATGTGCATAACTTTGATTTTGAAAATAAAGCTTTAGGTTGTCTACATTTATATTTATCCTCTGCATTTGAAGATACATGTGAAGAATAAAATGTTAATAGGAATGAAGATGAACACTAACAAATTAACAACTAACTTATAACATTGTGGAAATGTATGGTACTAAACAGTGGTAGATCTTGACTATTGATCTTAGGGGGTCAAATAATATATTATTAATAAATAATAAATAAATATAAAAGGAAGAAAGAAGATGAAAGGGTGAAAGGATAAAATTGTAGATATATACTTAAATATATTAAATTATCATTAAGTTTAAGGGGGACAAAATCATAAATTATGTGAGAGTTACAAAATTGAGGAGGGACTGAGAGGTTAAAATTATAAATATACAAGTGAATATATTAAATGTTTATTAAGTTTGGGGGGCCAAAATCATAAATTACATGGGAGTTACAAAATTTTGGGGGGCCACGACCCCCCTAAGCTCCTAAGAAGATCTGCCACTCGTACTAAAGTATTCACTCCTTCTTCTTCAAAGTTTGGTTCTAACATTTACCATTTTGTGTAAAAGAATGATGAAGATGAAAGTAGATTAATAGTCTTAATGTAGACGTGAAAGAGACAAAATGTATCTATGGGAACTAGAGTAATGATGTCTCTTTTCACCTTTTTTTTTAGTAAATACTTTTAATAATAAATGTTTGAATAAAAATCGACGATTATTAAAATAAAAGTACTTAAAATCACTTAAATGAAGTTGGCTTAACATAAATGAATCAAATGATTGGACCTGGACAAATGAAGAGAAAAATAATCCCACATAATTAATATGAAGAAGCATAATGTAGCCAACATACTTTTAGTATTGAGAATATTTCAATGATCTCAACACTACTATACATAGTCAACAATGTATACACAATCTATAAGTAAATGTATTTGAATCAATCCAACTAAAGCTTGAATAAAACCATAATAAACTTGAGCAAAGGTAAGAAAGCAAAACATACATATAATTGTCTAAACATTAACTAAAGTAGAGAATCCTAATAACAATATTCATAATACAATTCAAAAATACTGATATAAGGCTACACAAAGTTGTTTAATTTTGTTCAGTCTTGATTGAAAGTGATGAAGATCTTATTGAACCTTATGATAGAATGAAGATCTTGAAGATTTGATCAAGTCAAAGGCTCCTTGGGTTAAAGGGTAGAGTGATTAATGAGTCTGCGTCAATATTAATAGGTATAGTCATTCATTCTTCTCTGCTGCATGAGGGTTCATCATTTGAAAGAATTTGAAAGTGCATCTAAGAGTTTTAATCCGTTAAAAACTAGTTTAATCGATTAATATATTCTTAAGACTAAGATTTAATTGATATACTTAAAGATTAATCGATTAAAATCAGCTAGGAACATTCATGATAGAGTTTTAACTAATGTATTTTCGAAACAATAAATTAAAACCATTTAAAACATTTACTGTCAGTGTTTTAATCGATGCACATTCAAATTATTTTCATTAAAGAAATATTTGAAAACCTTACGTCGAGTATTTTAACCGATATAACTTTGAATTAATAGATTAAAATCACTTGAAATGTTTTGAAAAGTGGTCTATCAGTATTTTAATAATTGTAACTTCGAATTAATCAATTAAAATCACTTGAAATGTTTTGAAAAGTGTTTTGTCAGAATTTTAATCGATATAATATCGAATTAATCGATTAAAACAACTTAAGGAATTTTTTGTCAAATGTTTTAATTGATTAAATCAGCCTTTCATCAGTTAAAATCACTTATGAAGTTTTGAGAAAATGTATGGCAGAATTACAATTGATTAAACCGTGAATCAATCAATTAAAATAACTTAAAGAATTTTTGTAAAACTGTTTTAATCTATTAAAACGTCGTTGTATCAGTTAAAATAAATCTGAAAAATAGTTAAGCACATTTTAACCGATTAAAAGAATTTTTAATCGATTAATCAAGAAATAATAATCAATTAAAAGAAAGTTTTAATCGATTAATTAAACCAGTTAGTTGGAAAATGTCTCTATATAAATAGGATTGCTTCAGCGTTTTAAAATACACCTTTTAAGTAATCAAACAAGCAATCAATAGAGACCTTTTCAAGAAAGAAGTGCGTGAGTTTTTGTAGATTTTTTCAAAGTTCTTTCTTGAGGCATTTTTGCATTCTTACTTGTGAAGAAACTCATTCTGCAAGAGCAGCATAATCCGGGTTTGATTGTTCTAGTTTGTTTCTTTGTTATTTTCAATTCTTTACTATATTGTGGGTGTCTGGAAGTGTTGGGCACTGATTCTGTAGCTGGAATTTGGCTGCAGGTTGGTTCAAGAATTGGAACTTGGCTCTTGGTGAAGGTTTGGTGCAAGAACTGAAATTTGGTTCTTGGTGTGGATTTGGTGTTTTGTGATTCGGGTTTGTAATCAGAAACATAATCAATCTAATGAAACTCAACTGGAATTTGGTTGAGAACTGGATGTAGCTCTGTGGTTTGGGTGAACCAGTATAAATCTTGTGTGTCTTTCTTTAAACCTTTACTCTCTTTTATTCTGCTTGTGCCTTACATAGAACTGCTTGTTTTCCTTGGTTCAAAACTTGATCAGAATTCATAATCTTTGATATAAATAATCTGTATTCTTAAAAGTACGAAAAACTTTCAAAGATCAATTCACTCTCACTCTTGATCTCAACCTATATTTCTAACATTAATGTTTTTCTTCAACATTTTCAAAGACATATCTTCATCTTGTGTGTCCAAATTTGTTATGTTTTCTCACTTATGACTTGTAATGACCAAGTCATTGTTAAGAATATTGTCAGATGCTAAATCTATTGGTTTAGAGTCAATATCATTAGATGCATTGGAGAACTTTGTTAATAAATCGTGTAAAAATAATTTCAAATACTTTAGGCTAATTTTTTTTTCATGATCTATTTTTAATACTGAAAACAAAGTCATTAAATACTTGGGTAGCAATAACAAAAGAATTGCAAAACTTTGATTATTTATTATTGAATACGTCATTTTCTAAATTAACATCCTAACAAATTTCATTTAGTTCATATAGTAGTTGATAATGATGAATACCTGATATTAGTTGTTAAATAGCAACTTACCACTAGTTTCATGCAACCATGAATGATGTTTTTCATAATAACATCATCATTATTAATTTTCTTCACTTTGAAAGTTTTTTCAAATCTTAAAACTTTGACTATAGGTAGACTCCACTTCAAAAAGGAAAATCTTATTCACCAATTATGCAATCTCCTTAGGAAAATTTCCCCTAGCAACACTCTATAAACAATAAACAATGATATTAAGTACTAAATGTAAATTCTATAAAATAAATACAAAACCTAACTTTATAATATATAATGTACTATAATATATATATATATATATATATATATATATATATATATATATTTGTTGTAGAATCTAAATTTATCATGCAAACCAATCATCTCTGGTCATGATTTCTTTAACAAGTATAGTAGCATCCCTATAAAAAATAACAAAAGTTGCAAAGTCTATTTCGTTAATCACCTCGACCTTAATCTTGTACTTGAAATTGATAAGCAATGAATTATTATTATATGAAACAACTTCGCAAAAAACATGAGATATGTTGAAAATTACATGTTTATTACATTTTTTATAAAAAAACATTTTAGAATTTGAGTATACTCCTTTGTTGCATACGCAAGTTATATACCACCAATACTCATTCACTACAAGAAAAATTGGATTTTTCGACGGACAAAATTCATCGGTAACTAAGAAAATTTGTTGGTAAATATATATTACCGACGAATTATCGATAGGCGAAAATTCGTTAGTAATTGTGTTGTCGGTAAATACTACCAACAGATTTGAAAAGTCGATCGGTAAGGAGGACACATTTTTATTTATTTATTTAATTTATAACCCCTCTTTATTTATCTAGAGGTCCCCCTTCCATTTATATTATATTTTATTATTTATTACAATTTTTAGAATCAGATTAAGAGAATTGTCATTGGCGGGATTCGAGGTCGATACTCCAACCACTAGACTACTAAGTTTTTCTAATAATAATTTACAAATAAATTATATTTATATACAAATAAATGTATATCTCGTGTAAATATAAAATATATAAATACAAATATATTTATATATTTTGATATATTTATATATATATATATAGTTATATATTTATTTGTTGGATGTGAGGGCGCGTTCGACGATGAAAGTGTGTGTCGTATTTATTATAATATATTTAAAATTAAGTAATTATTATATAATTTTAAATATTTAATTTTTTTAATATAATCTTGATTTTTAAAAATATACTTTAAATACATCCAGTAAATGAACAAATAATTACCGATGGATATATTTGTCGGTAACTAATTGTCCATTTACCAAAATTATTAATTTACCGATCGGATATATCCGTCGATAATTACTTGTTCATTTATTGACGAATTTACCTACGAATATATTCGTCAGTAATTATTTGTTTATTTATCGACGGATTTACCGAAAGATGTATCCATCGGTAATTAATTATTCATTTACCGACGGATTAATCAACGGATATATCCGTCGGTAATTAATTGTTCATTTGCCGATAGATATATATGTCTGTAAGACCAAATTCCACAACTACTCTAAATCTATTGGTAATTTCCGTCGGTAATCACTTATTTTCCAATAGATACATATCTGTCGTGTAAATATCCATCGGTAATATAAGATTTTCTTGTAGTGATCATCGATAATATGTTTTATAGTGCAAAGAACTACAAAACGTGTTTCTTGTAAAAACTAATATGGACTTCACTAATGAAAATAAATATATTAATAAATATTAATGATTCGGCAAAATGACAAAATATAGTCATTATGATACTTGTTTACAATCTTTAAGACCTTCTATTGTGTTTCTAGGAGTAGATTGAAGGAACTTGTCTTCAGTGTTTGCTTGGAAGTGTAAGAATGTTGGCTTAATCCTTGGGAAGGTGATTCCATGTTGTGAGACATCTTACATCAACCAAAACATTCATTTAGTATAAGTGCCTAACTTAAATACATAAATTGTAAAGTCAACATAATTATTTACACCTTTTTTTTTTAAGTTTTATAGTTTCTTTATAGTCAGCATTGAAAATGATCATTGTACAATCCACACAATTTTACACATATACTATTTTGTAAATACTATCACATCAATATTTTCAGATAATAATTTAGTTTACATGGTTGTAAACACCTTATTTCTCCTATAAAATAGATAAAATAAACGAAAATTTCCAAATACATCAGTTTTTTTTTTAAGAAAAAACGTCATTTTCCATTCCTTATAGGAGTTAGTCTCATTTTCATGCTTCACCCTATTTGCTACATTACTCCAACCACCAACATGTTACTTAATATTGAACTCATCAATAGTAAGGTTTTCCTATAAATTGAAGGATTAAAAAATACTGGAACCATTGAATAACAACCACAAACAACATGACATTGAAACATTGAACAACACCCTATTTCCAATCACATAGAAACATTGAACAACAACCACAAACAACACGACAAAACAAATACTGGAACCACAAAACACGATAAATCAAATACTAGAATCACAAACAACATAACATCATTGTTCAAATTCAAAAGAAATCCTCTAGTGAAATTCACAAACACAATTGTTGTATGACTGTGACTTAACTTCCTCTAATATTATTTGTTGTATGACTATATATGTTATTGTGTTAATTGTATGATTCCACTCTAATTGTATGACTTCATCCTAATATGTAGATATTTCAAACATATGAATCCTTTTTTTAAATAAATAAATAATTAAAAAAAAAATTAAATAAAATTTTGCCATTGTCGCGTCATTTCACTCAGCCTCGCCCAACGCCTCCATCGTAGCTGTTAAACCCCCATCGTCAAACCAAGCCTTACCCATCTCCCCCACTCTGCACCCAACTACCATCTGCGAGCTACCCTAGGGCCATCGCACACTTCCACCACTCACCACCACTCCACCATTGCAGGCCTCTCATCGTGGGTCATCGCAAGCCAACCACAATCACTCTCAACCCCACCGCACGGCCACCCACCGGAGGTGTTGCTCCCTATCTCGTCTCACTCTCACTTGGCTTTCATGCAACTCTCCTTTTCTTTATATTAATGTTAGGTGTATTTGAGTTTAAAAGAGATATGGACTTAAAGTCCAAGATCTATTTTCGAGTGGAAATAGTAAAACCAGATTTGAATAATCAAGCAAATTAATTTTTGGACCTAACGGATTGGTAAGAGACTTTTAGGTCAATGGTCCAAGTGAATTCACCAAAAAAGCAGTTTCTATTTGGGTTTGAGGATGAAAAAAAAAAAACTTCAAATAGTAAAATTAATTTTGAAAAGATTTTTATTTTTATGAGTTATTGTGCTAATGTTTTTTTTTTTTTTTTGTTAATTTGAGACAACATAACAAAAAAAACAAGTTACAAATAATAATAAGTCTAAAAGATTTTATTATTTTTATTTTTTATCCAAATTTCATATAAAAACGACTGCACTTCTTTTCATAAAAATAATTTAAATTAGTATGTCATTATTAATATGTTAGCAATTAAATTAAATTTCAATAATCATCACTTTCTTTTCTCGATTATTATTTTATATAATTATTAAATATACAATACTATTATTATTGTTATTAGCGTTGTAAATAATATTTCATAAAAAAACTAATCACTATAATTGCACATCTAATTTGGTTGTTGTAGACACCTCATTTTTCCTATAAGAAAAGATAAAATAAATAAAAAATTGTAAATAAACCAAAAAAAAAAGAAAAAAGGAAAAAACATCTTTTTCCTTTGCCTGCCCATGGGAGTCAATCCCATTTTCATGCTTCACCCTCTCTGTTACGCTACTCCAGCCACCATTTACATCTCTTCAACTACCAACATGTTAACCACCAACACAACCATGCTCTAGTCATTGCTACACTGCTTTACCCTCTCTATTACACTGCTTAAGCCACCACCATGTTAGCCACCAACATCTGCTTCAACCACCAACATGTCAAGCACCAACACAATCATGCTCCGACCACCAACATTGCCCTGCATGTTACTAGATATTGGGCTTTATAAATTGAAAGATAACATTAACAAAAAGAGGATTCGTGAACACAGTTAAAACAAAACAATAACAATAACAAACACAAACTCAACAACACATTTAACAACAACATATTCTAGCGAAACCACACACAATCAACTACAACACTCACTTCAACGAAACCATACACAATCAACAACAACACTCACTTCAACGAAACCCATACAAATCAACAACAACAACACTCATTTCAGCGAAACCCATACACAAGTTCCCAATCCACTCTCTATGTAATATTGTAATATTTTGTAGTATTTATTGCTCTGTTGTATACCTCTTGTGATACTAGTCAATTAGTCCCAAATTTTATATATCTCAAAAAAAACCAATAAAAATTAAAAATAAATAAGAATCCACTTACCTTCACCATCAGAAGTCACCACAACAAACTCACCACACTACCTACACTCTCTTTTCCTTCCTCTCATAACATTTCTCCTCCAGCCACGACCTCACCATTAGCTCCATCTCCTTCACTACGGACCACAAGTCCTAACCCGACCACTTGCGGCCAGTAACGGATCTTGACCATTGATCTTGGGGGTCAAACAATATATTATTAATAAATAATAAATAAATATAAAAGAAAGAAAGAAGATGAAAGGGTGAAAAGATAAAATTCAAGATATATACTTAAATATATTAAATGATCATTAAGTTTGAGGGGAACAAAATCATAAATTATATGAGAGTTACAAAACTGAGGAGATGCTTGAGAGGATAAAATTGTAAATATATAAGTAAATATTGTTAGAAATGTAGGCTGAGATCAAGAGGGGGTGAATTGATCTTTGAAAGATTTTCGCAATTTACAGATTATCTATTTCAAAGATTAAGAATTCTGACCAATTCTTGAATCACACATAGCAAGCAATCAAAATAAAGGTAGTGACAGAATTAAAAGAGAGAAAGGTTTAGAAAGATACAACCAAGATTTATACTTGGTTCACCCAATCCAGGGCTACGTCCAGTTTCCAGCCAAATTCCAGTGATTTCCACTAGATTGAACGTTTTACGATTACAACTTTAATCTCACACTCAATCTACCACAAGAACCAAAATTCCAGTTCTCGCACCTAAACCTTCACCAAGAACCAAATTTCAGTTCTTGACCAACCCTGCGACCAAATTCCAGCTACTGAAACCAAGTGCCCACAATTCCAAGCACCCACAATACATAGAAAAAGTAAAGAAACAAAGAGAAGAAACTAGAATGCTCAAACCAGATTTATGCAACTCTGCAGTATGAGTTTCTTCTCCAAAAGAATGCAAATTTTGCCTCAAGAAAGAACTTCTATGAACTTCACAAAACTAGCATGATTCTCTCTTGAAAGTAGCACTTATGATTGCTTGATTGATTGCTAAAAGATGTGTTTTAAAAAGTTCAAGCAACTCTGTTTATATAGAAGATTTTCAAAAACTGCTGGTTTATTTAATCTGTTAAAAGTCTTGTTTTAATCTGTTAAAATTTCTTTTAATATGTTAAAAAGTTCTTGATTATTTTTCAGATTTGTTTTAACTAATACGACACCGTTTATATCAATTAAAACTCTTTGTAAAAAATCTTCCAAACTATTTTAATTGATTGTTTCGTCTTTCAATCGATTAAAATACTGCAAAACATTCTTATAAACTTTTCTAAGTGATTTTAACTGATAACAATCTGTTTTAATCGATTAAAACACTTTGAAAAAAGTTCACTTAGTTATTTTAATCGATTGAAATGTATTTTAATCGATTATAATTCTGCCAAAAGATTTCATAAAACTTTCTAAGTTATTTTAACCGATAGCAAGCTTGTATTAATCGATTAAAACATTCTGAAAAACCTCTTAGTTATTTTAATCGATTATTTCGCATTTGTATCGATTAAAATACTGACAAAACAACTTTCAAAACACTTCAAGTTATTTCAATCGATTATTTCGAGTTTGTATCGATTAAAATTCTGCCATAACACTTTTCAAAATATTCTAAGTCATTTTAATCGATTATATCAATTCTATATCGGTTAAAATATCGCGTGAAGGTTTTCAAAAATCCTTCTAATGAAAACAATCGATTATTTTGAAAACATATCGCTTAAAAACCCGTTACAAAAGTGTTAAGAACATTTTAGATGATAAAACTTATATGTTATTAGTTAAAAGAGCTAATTAAAAAACCTTTTATCAATATACTTTGTTTTTAACCGTTTAAACATTTTTTAGAGGCATTTGCAAAATCTTTTAAATGAAGAAACCTCATGCAGTAGAGAGATAAAGATGATTATACCTAAGCAGAGATGCAGACTCACTAATCCCACTACCCTTTTATCTAAGTGACCTTTGACTGCCACAAAGTAACCTTTGACTTCATTTTTTACTTTATCAAATCAACACGATCTTTGTCAAAGTAATTTAATAAGATCTTCATCACTTTCAAATATATTAAATGTTCATTATGTTTGGGAGGGATCAAAATCATAAATTACATTGAAGTTAGCTCCTAAAAAGATCCGCCACTGCTTGCGGCGTACATCCTTACTGGTGGAACCCTCACACCCTCACACGACCACCTACATTTTGTCCTCGCAGGAACCGACCATCATTAACCACCATCACGAGACCACCGCGAACCACCCAGCCGGACCACTAACTTTTTTTCCCTAAATCATTAACCCTCTCCTCCCGACACCAAAATTGTCATCATTGTCATCACCTTTCCTCCCTAGCTACCATAGCCGACACTCACGCCACCTCAATCGAACCACCCTCATCCTAATCGCGACTCAGTCGCCTCCTCCGAACCCTAAATAAGCACTGTTAGCTACATCTCATCACAACCCCCACCTCCTCCCTCAACTCAAACTACCACCGCACCCACAACGTCATCCATCATCATGCATGTCATCTCTTCACTCATCACGACACAAACCCTAACCTTAAACCACTGTGGCCACCGTGCCGCGTCTCTAGCCCGCACTATGCTTCCCCTCACTCTTATCTCACGCACACCCCCCCTCTTTTTTCTTTCATTATTAGGTTTAGGTGCATTAGGGTTAAAGAAAGGCATATGTGCTCAAGAAGGAGATGTGAGCTTAAGAGAGGTGTGGCCAAATCTGTCTGGGAATAGAAATGGTAAAAATAAACTTTTAATAGTGAAGCGAATGAATTTTGAGCCCAGCAGATTGGCAGGAGATTTTTAGGTCGATAGTCTAAGTTGGATTAAAAAAAATAGTTTCTATTTGGATTTGGGGGTGAAAATAACAAAAATAAGTTTTAAATAGTTAAACAAATCTGAATGAGTCTTTATTTTTGAGTTATTGGGCCTAATGTTTTTTTTTGTTTGTTTTATTTTGTTAAACTAGAGAATATAACAAAAAACAATTTACAAATAATAATGAGTCAGAATTTTTTTATTATTATTTTATCAAAATTTTAAATAAAAATGATTCTACTTATTTTCTTAAAAATGATTTAAATTTGTATATCATTATTAATATATTGACAATTAAATTTCAATAATTATCACTTTCTTCTCGAGTATTATTAAATGCAATATTATTGTTATTAGAGTAGTATGACAATATTTCATAAAAGTTTAACCACTTTGAATGCACATCTAATTTGGTTGTTAGAAAATTATAATAATCACTTTAAATGTGCTTTTGACTTGATTATAATAAAATATTTCTAAAAAAATATATACTTTAAATCCAAATAAAAATTACAAAAATAATCATTTAAATATTTAAATTATTTTGGATGCACTTTTGATTTAATTATTACTCAAATTATAAAAATGATAATCACTTTAACTTCTAATTTAATTAAAATAAAGTAAGGTGCATAATTTTAAGAAGATAAGGTGCAAAATTTTAAATAATAAAGTAAACAAACCCAAGAAAAATTCTCACTTGGACATTAAGATAGTTGTCTATCTAGATGTGAAGAAGGTTCATTTCAAAGGATTGTGGAGGGAGGAAAAGATGGAATAAAACTAGAAAGGAATAAAGGCAAAGGCTAGAAAAATAGACCAGCCCCTTGGATAAATAAATGGAGTGAAGAAATAAAAAATAAAAGATGAAGAGAAGAGAAGTATGGTGGTGGTGAAGTGTTGGCATGCCACTAGGGGATGAGTCATCCTAGACAAGTCATGGTTGTTGCCACTTGAACCAAGATTCAAGATAAGACATCAAAGACATGAAACACTCTAAGAAACCTCACAAACTTGTCATAAATGTTTAACCTAATTGCATGAGGGGAAACATTCTATTTATAGGTTTTTGGGGGAGGGGCCTAGATGAAATTACAAAAGGAGACATAAATTTAACCTAAACCTAAATGCTAGATTCCTTATGGTCCAAATATGCTAAATTCGTCCCAGCCCACCAAAAATACCTCTAAAGGTGTGGAGAATATGAAAAAGGAGGTGAGATCCTCTATGGGTTGTCCAAAGTCAATCAAATCCATAAGCCAAGTTTTTTCCTCTTCAAAAAGGAGTGTAAGACATGAAAAATGAATGTCTTACACCTTTGGACTGCCTACACATGTATCTTATGTATCCAAGCCCTATTTTTCAACAAAAAGAGGTGGTATTATTCAAAAAGCAGGTGTAAAAAGTGAGCCTACAAAAGGAAAGAAAAAATAAGTCAAAAACATAGGAAAAAAAATACTAAGTAAAAATAATAAGTAAATTAAAAATGAAAGGTGAGGAGGAAGTCTCCTTTTAGTCATGCTCCTAGTGATCCTTCTAGGGATGACCTCTTTTGTGTCCGGAGCAACTAGAGACTCATTAATTATTATATAATTATTCAATTTTAAAATAATTGCACGCATATATTTAAATTCGTAACACAAATAGATAAATTAAAATAAATTATTTACAAATATTTCTAAGAAAGAACTACGTCACTCTGATTCTCCGTTGCACTTGAGAATTTGTAGGAGTAAAAAGATAATCTCTGTCAAGCCAAAGATATAAAAAATATATAATATTTTATTTTTAATAACAACGTTTAATAGATATATAATTTTAAGGGATAAAATAAATAATTTCAAGATATTTAACTTTTTCACATATAATAAAAGGTAATCGTTGTTAGAACATATGTTGTCGGATGCTAATACATTCTCTACATATAATTGACTCTCGGATCCAACATTTTTTTTGTAGACTACTTTTTTTTTTCTTTTAAAGATTTTTTTCGATATTTTTCTTAAAATAAATATTGGTGGCGACTCCATTTATTTAAAAACTTAATTTTGTCGTCCAATTGCGATTTTGATTGGGACAATTATTATAAAATTATAATAATCATTTTAAAATAATTTGGATGCACTTCCGATTTAATTGTTACTCAAATTATAAAAATGATAATCATTTTAGATGTACTTCTAATTTGATTATTACATAATTATTAAATTTTAAAATAATTTTAGACATACCTTTAACTTAGTAACATAAATTGTCACAAATATTTTCAAGAAAGAACTACGTCTAATTCTCCATTGCACCTAGGGATAACAAAGAGATAATCTCGGTTGAGCAAAAAAATATAAAAATGCATAATCTTTTATTTTTGTAGTAACAACATTCAATGGATATATAATTTTGAGGGATAAAATAAATAATTTTAAGATATTTACCTTTTTCACAACTAATTAAAGATTACTATTTTCTAGAATGGATATTGCAGGGTGTTAATACCTCCTACACATAATCGACTCTTGGATCCAACTTTTGTTTCGCATACCATTCTTTTTTCCTTTTAAGGTTTTTTTTTTTATATTTTTCTTAAAATAAATATTGGAGGAGACTCTATTATTTTCTTTAATTTAGAAACTTATTTTTGTTGTACATTGGTGATTTTGGTTGCGACTCGACTGGGGAATCTAAGTCAAGCCTCTCATAATTATATGTAAAAAGCTAAAATCTTTTATTATTTGTTAAATCCCTCCTTATCTAGCTTTATTTGTAGGTGTTTATGTGATTTTATCTTCACTTATTCATTGTAAAGATTTCTGCTTCAATAAAATCGTAGGATAGAAGACATGTTCTTATTGTGTATGTTCTTTTTGTTTTGCAGGTGGTAGTTTAGGACTAGCCTTTCATACACTACACTCACATTTGTTCACACACTTATGAGTGAGGTCCTATACCTAGGTCTGAGTGTAACTTAGGGAGTGAAAGACAATTAGTGGTGTCATTTGGATGTACTTCGAATATGATAATCATGAAAGTCTTATCTATAGCGTGACTCTTTTGCAAATATTTACACCTTGGATGTACTCTAATTTGTAGTCATAAACCGAGATAAGTACTAAGCTCTAGAGACCAAGAGAGTTTTAGATATTTGACTACCTTTTGATAAGACACACTTGCTAGAGAAAACCATTAGACTTATAAGATATATACTAATACCTCTTAGGACACTATGAGGTATCTTTATCCATATCCACCACTCTTTCTTTTTCATTACTTTCTCATGTTACATATTTTACATTAAGAACATAAATTTTACTTTGGTTCCAAATTGGAAGTTGATTTTATATGGGTGGTGGGTGGTTCTTGACCCAACACCCAAAATTCTGAATAGAGTAAACACTTCCTTTGGTAATTTCATTTTGAAATTTATAGATGAGACCTCCTAACTAATGCTAGAATTCTACCAGGCTTCATTAAGATAATGAAATGATGAATAAATCACATTAAAACTATAATGAAAGCATGTTATTAAAATGAAGCAATGAAACTAACCTTCATATCTTGTAACACAAATTCCACAAAAAATGACAATTTATGTTTATCGAAATCTAATATATGCCAGTTTTCTTTTTCAACATTGAGTTCCGAAATGACGTGATATTTTTTTTGCAAATGTGGCATATGTTGGATTGTGATTTAGATATATGGAAAATAACAAACTAAATGTAAAAATATATGGAGAATAACAAACTCAATGTAGAAATATAGCAATCACAAATATATACTTATAAGTATGATGAGAAGAGGGAAATGTTCTTTCTATTCTAGAATTTTAAATTTGAAATGTTGGTGATATTAAAGTAGCATGAAGTCAAACATTAGAGTAAAATAAAGATATTACAATTTTCATGCATTGACTCCCTATATTTCCCTCATGATCTAAAAAGCTACAATCTTTTAGTTAACCAAAAATACATATATTTAACCAAAACCTAACCCATAAATAATTGCAAAGCTAAAGACCATAAACCCTAATTTTATAAGTCTAGATTAGGCTTCCACCAAGTTTTGCTGCCCAATAATTTTGAATGGAAAAACCTTATATCAAAGCACATAAGTAAACAAGATTACATAATGTTATACCTGAAACAAGTATAAATATATAGATATATAACCTAATCATGGTTAAAGAAGATAATATTGAATCTTAATCATGATAAAAAAAAGTAACTTTTTTAGGAAAAAAAATTTCAACTTCCACTCTTGATTATAATATTGAAGGTAAACACAATAAAAAGGTAACATCTTTAAATAGAAAAACTAAAACAGGCATAAACAGATCTAAAACTCTTGTGGAAGAAGATAATATTAAATCTTAATCGTTAAAAAAAAGGTAACATCTTTAGGGAAAAAAATTCCAATTTCACTCTTCATTATAATATTGGAGGTAAATGAATAAAAACGGTAATCTTTGAATGAAAAAACTTTAAATCAAAGCAAATCAATAGACAAGATTATATATATATATATATATATATATATATATATATATGTGAGAAACAAATATAAAACTCTAATCATGAAAAAAAAATAAAACTTCTTTATGAAATCAACAATCTTTGAACAAAAAATTTAGATAAAATAAACCAGTAAGAAAGATAATATCACCTCTCTAAGCCTCTAGATATGTATGCATCCACAACTTCCAACTGATAAAATGTTACTTAAGAGGAAGACGTGTAACAAAAAAGATTTGCTATTTTTGTTTTTGAGACACTAATTTTGTAAAGAAAAGGAAAAATTGCATTTCACCGCCTGAACATACAACGTTACAGAGAGATGAAGGCGTGCTACGTTATTGAGAGATGGAACATGTCTAAGAGTGAGAGAGCATTTGGGTAGAGAAGTGAATGATGATGACAAGGAGAAAGATTTGGGCCAAGAGGCGTTTTTGTGGCCCAAACTCATTCGTTTATCTTTTACTGAGAATAGTATGTTTTATGTAAATTTTTTTTGAAAAAAATTATGGTGTTGACACGCATAAAAACTTGTTGTTTGTGTTACCTCCCGTTATCGATTTCGTAACTTGGTATCTACGCACAACAAAAATAAGTTTTATTCAGTAATATTTTTCTGCACCCTTTGATACAGAGCATAACTTATCTTTGTAATGTATAAACACTTAATTACAAAACGTAAAACACATTTTCATTTTATATCTTGGTGAAATACACAAAACTAATATATCTCTTGGGTAATTTAAGTGTTTATTATTAGAATTGGGTAACGGTATAATCCCATTCTACAAAATTAACTTATAGGTACAAATGATCTCTTACATTGATGATACTTATGGTGGGAGAATATTTTGGTAGATTGGGGGAGGTAAAAGTAAATTAGAGAAGTAAACGAAAACAATAGCAATTTGTTAGTTGAGCTTGGTCACCTTATTACAACTACTTCTGCCTTTGTCGTGTAATAAAGGGATGTATGAACAAAATACTCACTCTTTTAGATGTTTATTCCATCGAATTAAGTCATAGAAGTTTTTCGAATAAAGCCAATTATTTTTGGCTTAATTATATTTATAGTTTTCAAAATTTAAGATAAATATGATTTCTTCTCCCAATTTTTTTAATCTTATTTTAATACTTTTATTTTTCATTAATTTTTGACATTCTTGTGATTTTATCAGATTGTATGATGTGTATATCTCTCCCGAATAAGAGGTAGAAATAGAAGATTTGATTTATTTGGAGTGGGCCTGGGGGTAGCAGTAACAGACATAAACAAAGTGGTGGAAATGAATGAGAAAGAAGAGAAAGGATAATACAAAAAATGACGCTTCTATCTTCTCTGTGTTCGTGTCCTCCAATTCCTACCTCATGGTTTCCGTTGACATCAAATACCTATGCCTTCTCCAACAATCTCAGGATCCAAATCCAATCCTCTGCATCCACCAACATTTTCACCCAAAAAATCGACACCACTCTCTTATCCATCGCTCAATCCTTCTACGAGGATGAGCTCTGGGCCGCTGCCTGTCTCCGCGTCCGTTCCTTCCATCAATTCCGCCCTGACACCTTCGGAGTTCAAGTCAGTCTCTCACTTCAATCTTCTCCTTTTTATTTTTCTTTAAATCTCAAGTTTAGATTCGCATGATTGAATTGTGATGAAGTAATGTAACCCGGTGTGTTCCGTATTTCGTGTTTGTTAAGTTGGGTTAGGATCATATGACGTACTTGGCTGAGCGCGAATTCGAAGCACTCAAGGAGCGTGTTTCCGGGAAAAGAATGGGCTTCAGAAGAGTCTCTTGCATTAATGCATCCCTTCCATTGTCCCATATCGCCACCCTCTCCGATGATTTATGCTCTTCATGTAAGGTTTGTTTATTTCCTCCATCCATTTACGTCGCTCCAATTGCTTTCATCAATAAATTGTTCAATGCTAATCCTTTCCATGTCTATGTTTGGAGATGGACATGTCTCTTCTCTCATGGATCTTGTCCCTTCTACTCAGAAAATTCACACGTGCAGCTTATTAATATAGCAAATGCTAACTTCAGTCATTGGTTAAGGAATTCAAAATAGAAACTTTTCCTTAAAGAAGTGTTATTAATGTATTGTTTACCGTGATTTACAATGCATTTCTTATGTGAATTTCAATAAGAAATTTCTATCTTTGATTTCTTAACCAGTGTCTTCAAGCTACTCGTTAGTAAGATCCAATATTAACAGTACTAAAATTAAATGGAGAGATCTGTCTATCTTGGAGTTGTTGTAAAAATTTAGTTCAGATCTCAATCCCATCAAATTAATTTTCACATAGGATGGGTTATCTGTGTAGATTTGTTCTGTTTCTTGCTTCTTAACATATCTAACCGTAGTTTGGGTAAAATTATAGTTTTCAGCAAATGGGGAGGACCGGGTTGTAGTTGGCACTCTTGATCTTAATCAGTGCTTGAGCCTTCCTGATGAAATTGTAGGGGTGAAGCCTGAGGTATTTTTCTTTCTCCTGATGTCTAAACTTCTATACCTGTTTGTCTAGTAGAATTTTGGTAAGTAGGTTTTGAGTTGACACGAAAATTGATAACTCTTCTCTCTGCGTTCTAATTTGTACAATGCTACCGTGTAACTGTTTAAATGTTTCACTGGTATAGGTCATTGGAGCTGATATCACTAGGGCATACCTCAGTAATGTATGTGTTGCTGAAGAGTTGCACCGAAATGGGCTGGGTTATGCACTTCTTGAAATGTCAAAGTTAGTAGCTTATGATTGGGGTAAGAATCAAAATAACACTTAACTGCTACCTGGATGTTGCTATCGTTTCTACTGTCTTTATAAAAAATGTCTATTTATGTGCACAAACGACTTTTTCATTAGAATGAAAGAGCCAGCAAAAATATTCCCCAATACAATACAATGTTGAGAATTCATCAACGACTTCAAGTCCCAAATGGGAAGATTAAGTTATGAATTAAAGGTGACGAGATATTCTTATAAGATTGAAAATCTATATATTGTTAACCCCGAAAACACCTAACACATAGCTCTTCTAATACAATCTCTCTTTTATTGTTTAATTTTTTTTTTTTATTTAAAACTTATTTACCATCTGTTTCAATTTTCGGTAAGCAGAATCTTGGATGTACGGTGTTAATTAGGAAGTTCATTTGAAAGTCTTAATAATTATTGATTGCACTACTACGTATTTAAGACTCATAGTGTCAATTGCGATGCTATTAGAGGACTAATATTCTTGTAGCACAGTACAAAACGATTATTGTTGATGATTTGTTTGTTAATCATTCAAAGATTTGTCTGCTAAAGTTGAAGAAAGTATAAAGCTGACTTTTCTTAATTGTACTTACTCTAGTTCCTTTTATAAATAGTGATTTAAACATATACTCGTAAGAAAGAAAAGAACGCAATGCTATTTTAATATCCCAGCAAACAAGATTAGCACATATACCATGTCATAATGTTTATGTTTTATTAGTTGGATAAAAGATCATTAAGGTTATAATATATATATATATATATATATATATATATATATATATATATATATATATATATATATATATATATATATATATATATATACAGGGACACCCTTATTTCTTTATTTTATGATGATAATAGTAATAAATGAAGTTGTATAAGTGTATTTTTTTCATCTAGTTGTCTATATTATCTCTCATTTATATTTATCATTGTTTCAGGCATAACAGATTTGTATGTCCATGTTGCTGTTGACAACGAACCAGCAAAGAAATTGTATATAAAGAGTGGGTTTGTCTATGAAAGTGATGAACCCGCATGGCAGGCCAGGTTTCTGGATCGACCCCGAAGACTTCTGCTATGGTCAGGGCTCTCAAGGACCTAATTTAACATGTCCCATATTCTGTTTATATGGTTTACCGTCCATTTTTTTAAGAACATCCCTTCCTCCGCTCCTATTCGTTCTTCTTTTCCTTTCATTCAGAAGCCAATGTAACGTGTTTTGCCATTTTAGCAAATCTGGTTGACAAAGGTCAACTCTAAGATTCGATTGCATGGAATAGCTTATCTTGATGATTATATTAAGCACACATTGTAAGGCTCAAAGCATTAAACTGGAGCGGAGCATTATAAGAACATCTATTATATACTAATTTGAGACCCTAATATCTTTTGAATAAATTAAGCCCTTTGACTTTCATCCTCCTTGAACTACTTCAAAAAATCAAACGTATTTGTTAGTGACGGTTAAAATCTTATGATGACCTTGAAATATATAGGTTAAATTATTTTACAGGAGTCTATGACTTGATCGATTTGTAGAATCAGCTTAAGCCAAATTTTTCATGAAATAATAGGTTTTTTAAGAAATGGGTTTAACTTAAATTTTATTTAAGTTTTTGACTATTATTATTTTATTAAAAATGTTATAATATATAAAACATATATTTGTTTAGAGTTTTTAATTATTAATAGAGACTCATATAAAATCAAACTTATAAAGTGATTGAAAAAAAATTCTATTGTTTAAGGGGAGGGAAAAATTAATTGTATTGGTTTAATTTAAGGAGAAGAGGAGAATTAATTTAAAAAAAAAAAGTTGCCACTTAGTTTCTATCAAATCAATTAAATAACACAACTTTCAAAATATTTTCTCTTCATTTCTCACTTATCTCTACTCTATCAAATAACTGAATATTCAATTTTATTTTACAAATTTTTCAACTTATTTCTATCTATTCTATTTTCATTCTCTCTATCTATTTTTTTCAAAACCAAACATACCATTACTGAAGTAATTAATCTTAAACTAGTTCAAACCTTAAATAATTCAAACCGAACATGCCTATTTTAACCCCTACTTTCTATAAACTGTTAAGAATATTAAATAATAAATACTATCTTAAATTCTGTACCCTGTTTGATAGGAATTATATGTTTATCTACCTCGTAAATGTAGATTATTTCTAAAAATATATATGGGAAGGGTATTTACAAGTTGTCTACTGCAAAATCCTGGCAAGCAATGAATTAACGGACAACATAAATTCATTCGAGAGACAAAATTACCAGAGTCAAAATTTGGATTGCAGCAACGTGAAATGATAAATTGAACTATCACAAAGCCAAATTTGCTGCAGATCAAATCAATATTACTATCTTCGAACGTACAAAACAATTGAAGCTTGAAGATCACGATCTACCTTGAAGTGAGCATGAAAAAATCTTTTTTCCTGTTATTTAAATCCCAATGTTAGAAAAATGAAGACAAATTAACAGGATTTACATGTATCCGAAAACTGAGCAATAATTAACTTAGGAGAGTCAAATTAATTACCTCCCTGTAATCAAATGAAATTAAAAGGTTCTTCAATTTTTGTTCTTCTGAATCAAATAAAACTATGTGGCTTGGCATAGACATGTTTTTAACATATTCAGACACAAAAGAAACAGGGTCCATCAAGAAACGGTCAGACTCATCGGGGACTCCTTTCTCTTCACTGTTGCACAAGATACATTAACATGAATTATGAACTTATTTAACTTCCAATTAAGATTAGAAGTTCCGACAATTCAAAATTCCAAACCTTGGTGTGCAGTCCAGAAATTGCATTGGCAGGTTATGATGCAGCATGGAATAGTACGGAGTGGAATGGCAAGGCATTAGGAATAGGATGTTTTTCACTTTCCCATGCAGAGCTTCTCTAGCAAGGTGGTTCATGACATCCTCAGGTCCTCTCTGTCAGAAAAGAGAGAATATATTGAATATTCTAGGTTATTACAGAAGATTTTCTTGCTCAACTCTAGATATAATAAACAAGCACATCAAATTGAAAGAAGATTCTAAACAGATAAGTGCAACAAACTTCTTTGTAAAGAATTATAAAAAAAAAAGAAAAAAAAAGACAAAAAATAGAAATAAAATTCTCCATATTTTAAATTAACTAATGCATTACGTAAAATAAAAATTTAAAGAAGTTATATGAGAGAGTTTCTACTAATAGTTTATTCATGAGCTAATTCTAACTTGAGGAAAAACTCATTAGATTTTTTTTTTCTTATTTTCCTTCCCAAATCTTTTTGGAGAAATTTATCCGGATATGCCCTTAAATGTAAAATATAAGCATCAAGTCCAATTAATGACAGGGAGGAAGGAGGAGAGAAACCTGATGAACCAAACTCATATACAAAGCCATTGGAATATTGGTAGCAAGCAAAAATAAGATAGCAACTCCCATCTTGGGAGGACATCTGGTATTCTCTTTTGAAGATTCTTTTCCTTTATACCTTGCAGAACCAGGATCTTCTATTGCAGCTAACGAGTAACCCGAGAACATCAGAGCTATTGGAAGAACTGGCAAGACAAACCTGTACTTTACGTTAATTATTATCACAGATAATGTTAAACCCAATAGGCCAGGTACATGTTAACATGCATATGTAAATTCAGATTGAAATACCTGAATTCCTTGTGACCTAATAAACTGTAGAAACCCAAAACCCATGCAAGCAGGCCAGAAAACTTCCATTGTTTGGAATAAATTATACCAGCAATACAAAATGGTAAGTACGAGAAGATCATAACTGTAAATCCCTGGGTGAAGTACCAGTGCCACTTGTGAGTTCCATAATAGTCTCCACCCGAGGAGAGAAAATTGAATTTTAGAAAATTAAGTGGTACTAGAACCCATGTACCGTACATGAAACGATCTAATAAGCAGGTAAGTCCAAGCACCAGGATCCTGATAGGGTGCACCCAAGTGTTAATAAAATATGGTCTTCAGGGAGTAGAGAAGCAGAAAGAAAATTCACATATGATAATACATGATTCTCTAAAAGCACAATTACTTAACAAGATTGTATTTTCATAACAATAAATAGTAAAATGTGTGAACTTCCAGGAAATGAGTCATCTAATGCTCATGTGGAAGGAGAAGTCATACAGAATTAATGAGGTTAATCTACTGGCCACGCATGGAATGGAGCCAAGGAGAGTGACGACTTGAATATGATGACAATAAAAACATAATTAGAAATATATTTCTTGTTCCTTTTTCTTGTTAATTGTTTTGTTGGTAGATATTTCTTGCTCCTTTTAATTAGAAGGACTGATTTTGATACTTTATAAGAATATGAACAAAATTAATTTACCTTAACTTTTGAATTACTAATATGATATGAAATGTATGTAAATTTGCAAATAGAACTGACATATGTCAAATTAATGATTTAAGTAAGTCCAATTAATGACATATATGTCTGAATAAATCCTAGATATTTGGTTTGGATACACAAGGAAAATAACACAAAATTCAGGTATCCTTACATCTCCTTTACCAGATGTCAAGAAGCTTTCTAAGAATATAAACAGGTAACACTAGTGCATGTAAACAGTCCCAAAACATACCCAATAGGAGCCACCTCCAAAAAAATGAATTTGAATCTGTCATGTGCATTGAAAAGCTCAATCAGGCCAACATACAGCCATGTGATTGCACTTGTTGGTCGGATAGCACAAGCCACTGCTGCCACAGCTAAACCCCACTTCCTTGAAACAAAGGAATAGTTGTTGGAAGATCTCATGCAGGGCCAAAAGTAAAGAGACACAAGTGTAAGAACAGTCTCCAAGCTATTCGATAGCGTTCGAGAAAAACAATAAAACATAAACCAATTGGACAACTGCGAAAAGAGCTGAGACAGAGTTAAGTTTTCATATACAGTGCATGAAATGTAAAGCAGCAAGAATTTCTAACATTAAAGACACTTATTTTAACAAAAAAAAAAAAAAAAAAGTAAACAAAATCGTAGGATACTGTCCATTTTGCAACCGAATCACCATAAAGAACCGCGGAAAGCTTGTACAAGTATAAATCACCAACTGCAGAGAACACAGATTGCAGTAGCCGTGGAGCCCTCATCTAACAAACATAGTACAAAAACTCGAATAGGTTAATGTTCAGTTAATGTAAAGATTTTAACATATTCAACCAATTAAAAATCACTCAGACATGACTTTAAATATGATTATAATAAATTTTAACAATCTCTATCTTAGACCATGTTTAGACGAACGAGTTTCTGAAGAAAAAATTGAAATTAGTTTGTTAAATTAGAATAATTCCACATTAGTGGTGGTACAATGAATGGAACTATACCTAGGAAACACATAAGAATAAGAATACATTAATTGTTTGGTTAAGCAGCTACGTATAGATTTAAAGTATTTACCATAAGCCAAGGGTTATCAAGATGCAGTACGGCGAGGAGCCAATAAAGCGGAATGAAGAACATGGGATGCAAGTAGCTTCGGATACCCTGTTTCCACTCCCATGTTAAGTGACCGTACCTGCCAGATCAGCGCTTACGTGCCATCCGCCAAGAAACAAACGGAGGTTTAACGGAAAAGAAAAAAGAAAGGGAAATTAAATGGAACGGTACCCAAACGCGACGCGATGCGCGACCTCGGGGCCCTGCCAGTGTTCGTCGGGGTTGAAATAACTCTGTACCAAAACGGAATTCACCATTCGGAACGCCAAGCAGAGAGCGAAGATTCGTTTGTGTGAACAGCAGAATGACGAGTGCTCAGAACCTGATTTTGATGAAGTTGGAGCTTTGGATTCCTGCTTGTCTGCATCTTTGTTGCTGTTGTGCCTTCGTCTCATTCTTTGAGAATGCGATATGTGTTTCCTCCTTGTCGTTAGAAAAGACTAACTATTACTGCGAACCAAAAAGAAAGAAGTTCAAGAAGGAGTAGCGTGGACTCGGGTAGTAACAGTATTTTCTCGATATGACCCGACTGGAAATGGGTTTTCCATTTTTTCCGTTATGGGCCGAACACGCAAGAAACCCGTTTTGTGCTATCACAAAAACAATTTTCTGGAAAAA